ACCCATCCATCCATCCATCCACTCACCCATCCCCCCATCCATCCATTCATTCATCCATCCCCCATCCACCCATCCATACATATATTCCTCATTCACACACACACCTGTCCACTCACCCATCCTTCTTTCCCTCCTCCATCCACACATATATACTCCCCCATTCACCCATCTACTCATCTACCCATCCACCCACTTCCCACTCATAAATTCCCCATCCTTAATCCTTCCCCCTTCCCTTCCTTTCTCCCACTATTCTCCCTCCCTTCCTTAATTCCTTCCTATCTTCTGTGCATACATACATCATCCATCTACTCACCTACCCACCCATCCGTCCGTCCATCCATCCATCCATCCATGCACTTACTCATCTTGTTGATTCACTTCTTATTCATCCACTATTTTTTATATCAATCCATCCATCCATCCATCCTTTTTTAAAAAGTAAGCTCTATGCCAATGTGGGGCTTAAACTCATGACTCCCAAGATCAAGAGTCACGTGCTCTACTGACTGAGCCAGTCAGGCACCCTTCATCCATCCATCCTTTTATGCACAGGGGATGATAAGATTGGAGAATTCCATCCAGAGGGAACTATGTGATGGATGGATAAATGGATGGATGGATGGATGGTTGGATGGATGGGAGCGTGGAGTAGGAAATGAAGAAAAAGGGGATGAATTCAGGGTGACCTTGACTCAAGAGAGTCTAGGTGCAGCCTCCAAGGTGGACCCTGGCCTGAACGCTCCAAATAGCCCACACCTCTCAGGTATTCTTGAAGAGGCAGGACTGGCTCCTCCAGGGCCTTGGAGAACCCAAGGCAGGGTGTGGGTGTCCCCCGAGGCCTCTGCTTGGGTTTAGCAGCCAAGCACGGCTTCTTCACTTCTTGACAGACATTGATGAGTGCCAGGAGCTGCCCGGGCTGTGCCAGGGGGGAACCTGTGGCAATACCTTTGGCAGCTTCCAGTGTGCCTGCCCACCCGGCTACCACCTCAATGGGGACACCCGCATCTGTGAGGGTGAGTATACACCTTCCTCTCTAGCCTCACCTCCTCCTCAGGTGCCGGGGCCTGAAGTGCCTTTAGGGGCTCTACTCACCTGCCTTGCTGCCTGGGGCCCACTGGGAGGGTGGAAAAGGCTTCATCAGAATCCCCCAGCCTGCCCTCTGCTCTGCTCCCTCCCTCTCACTTCCTGCCCACTTGGAAACGGCCTGGCTTTTCTCTGGCAACCACTCCCTTCCTCCTTCGGGCAAAAGCTGACCAAGTCCCAAAGCTGAGAGTGGGAAGGGACAGACACAGAAGGAATAGCCACACCATTCCTTCAAACAGCGTTCTACCTGCCTTCTTCCTCCCCTCCTTTGGGCATCACAGTAATGACCAACAGGAAACTGGTGTTTGTGACTGTGTGTCACCCTCGCACTGAGCATCTTCAGTTGTCATTTGTTCAGTCACCACAACAGCCCCATGAGGGGGATGTTCCATTTAGGATCCCATTTTTCAGATGCAGAAACTAAGGTTCAGGGAGATGAAGTAACTTGTCCAGCTAGTAAGTGAGCAAAACCCAGCCATTCTGGTCCTTGAGACTGAGCTCTTCTAATGCAGTATACTAAGTCGGTCCATCCACCCACCCACCCACCCA